TCTTCCCTAACTTGGCTTGCATCAAGTAAAGGGTACTCTGCTTCTTTTCTCTGGCAACAACAAGATTTCATTTGCTGAGTTTCCATTTTCTTTCATCTTGAGGGCTATGGTAGCCCTCATCATCAAGTTTCTTGTAGAAACAAGATTAAGATGAATATTAGGAACATGTCGGGATTTCTTAAAATCAACAGGCACTTGGTATCTGTATCCAAATATATGTCTCCCATGCCAACAACTTTGCATGAGACCTCATTTTCCATCATAACATAGCCAAAGTTTGCTTCGGTGTACGTTGAGAAGAAATGCCTATGAATAATATGGTAGGATGCACCCGAATTAACTACCCAATCACTGTCATAACAGATAATACTCACATGACCATCATCACAGAATACAAACATATCATCATGAGGTGCCACAACTGCTGTAGTTTTCTCATCATCTTTTTCCTTCTCCTTACCTTTTTTCTCAACTTGTTCCCATTTTAAAATTCTAAACTCTGTCATATAATTCCCATTCTTTTTGTAATTATAGCATGCAATATTTTTTTGCAACTGAGACCTGCCTCTGGAGTTGTCATTCCTGTTGTGGGGTCCTTTACTTTTGCTTCTCCCTCTTCTTTCTTTTTTTTTTGTCACCAGGACTTAAGACTCACAGACAATTCCTTGTTTCTTCCTCTTGAACTCTTCATTTATCACGGCTTTTTTTGCAATAACTATGGTCAATCCCTAGAAATTTTTCAAGTGTTCAGTCATATCTTCCCCGTCTTTATATCTCATCCGAATAATCTGCTTCAGATAATTAGTCTTGTTCAAACTGGTCTTCCGTTCCACAATACATAAGCTCTGGTGTCATTAGCAAAGTGTTGGAAAATACTCTGTCCAATCCACTTTCTAATATTACCAACAGTTTTTCTGTGCATAACTGTCCATTTGTCATCATTCATGTCACTTGGTATAGCCACATCCCCTAGAACATGATCAAACAAATCTCTACCGTATAAATAGTTTTCGATTCTAGGCATCCAAGTCGAATAATTAGTTGCATTTAGTTTAATCACACAACTACTATCTTTTTAACCAGTATAATTGAACAGCCTAACCTGACTGCTCTGATACCACTTTGTTGAAAAAGGGGTACTGGTGCAAGCACACAATTTCAGAGTTAGTCCGGGACAAATTACTCTTTCCTCAAGTACTAGTTAAAATAGGAATAAACCAAATCATCAAGTAATGATGCCAATAGTAATAATAAAATATAGAAAAAATAAAAGACACTGGACACCAAGATTTTTACGTGAAAAAACCCAAATTGAAAAAAAATCACGGGATTTAGTCTAGTAAAAAAGTCTCTATTATCACAATAATGGGAATACACAGGTCTATTTGGAACATCCAGATGACAATAATATCACCAATATCAACTAAGTTAAATCGCTCCAAAATCACTTCCAAAAATTACAACTATCAAAGAAGTGGGTTTGAAAGAATGTTACCAAACAAAAAAAAAATCCAAAATCTGAACCAGTAGATTAGTAGAATTTAATGAGAGGATCGCGTAAGTAAAATTTTGTCTCAATCGGGTTTCGAATTACTCTCCGATCAAAACTTTGAAGTTTCTCTCTCTCTAGTTTCTTTACTCTTTTTTTCCCTTCATTTTTTTCCAAGAAAGAAAAGTGACGGCTGCTATATTTTTTCCTCGGTTGATTTTCTATCTCTTGACTGAAGCTTTTTTCCTTTGTTCCCAAGAAAGAAAGGCCAAGCTGTCCAAGTCAAATTTGACTTCAACCTAATAGGATTTATTTTGTGGTTTGGCCCACAAATGGGTTGGCCCAAATCCAACAGATTAAGACTTGCAATGACATAATATAAAGAGAATTATTAACATGCATGACACGTGTACAAATAGATTTGGATTTAAGAATGTGTGTGGAAGTATGATAAACTTATAAATAGCCTTCAATAGTTCTTTATTATTGTGAATTCGCACTTTTCTTATAAGAAATAAGCCACGGTTCAATTTTTATCGTTGCATCAATATGAGGATCTGATTTTGCCTTTTCATGAGATACTAACATGTTTAGAGTTCATGATGATTGTAATCATGATTAATAATTACAACACTATATATATGTTAATCATTTTGAAAAGAAGAAGAAAGGTGATTCAAAGATAACTATGTCAACTTGGTCTAATACTGGTAAGTGTGATGATAAACAAAGAATTAATTATTTTTTTAATTCAGCTCATTTCAACTTTTCATTGTTCAATAAGTTTCTACAGCATCTGCTTGCCCTTTACTAGGGGTATAACCGAGTTTAATCAAACCTAATATCCTAGTGTTCAAACTTATATTGTAATTTTAACAAGTTTGAAATTTTGTTCAATCTTAACTTATTTAATTGTCGAATCAAGTTTTTATCGAATTTAAATATTCTCGAATATAAAATAATGTTCAATCTTGACTTGATTGGTTAGCGAACCAAATTCGAATGAACTCTTATTAAATCGAACTCAATTCAAGTATCAAATCGTTTGATTCATCTTTTAACCCTATCTTTTACACCATCCAACTAAAAGAAAAAATCATAAAGGCTATATAGGTCCAAACAATTGCCTAAAAATTCCTCGAGTATGTTTCTTGTGCCGTGTATGAACTGAGCAACTAAGCTATGCTAATTCTCATTTTCCTCGGGGGTAACGACTCAAGTAGCAACCAACCACGGTAATCTCTATCCTCCAAGAGCAGCTATTCAATTATTCTCTAGCAGTTTTCCTTGCGTTTACATCTGTTTATGAAATATATAAATATATACATTTTCCTATTTTATTGGGCACTGATATATGTTGTTTATTGATGGAAATCAGTTCAGGGATTCCAGTGCATGAAATAGATGTAATGAATAAAGCTGAAGATCAAGTGAATCGTACCATCTCCATTTTCTTTCCACTAGTTTATATTTGGTATCTGCAATGACAAAGGAAATTTGAACCCTTGATTTCTAATTCCTAAGATATGTATATATCTTACTTACAACAAAAGCAATATCAAAAGAAATTTACATACTGCAGCATGTCACCCGTACCCAATAGTTAAACCAATATTGTTGATTTTTCCAACGGCTACAATGTTTGACTGTGGCATAATTCTTTCGTCCCACATCGCAGCAGACAGCAGGAAGGCTTCGTTGGAGAGCCTATAAATAGAAGGGGTTTATGAAGGAATCAATTACACCACTCAAGAGAGCATTATATGAGCTATTAGATTCTTGGGTCATCTAGCCCATTATAGTCAAATATTTTAGGTTTTCTTGTTTTGAGTTTAGAAATATTTTTTAAACTCTTTTGTAAGCGACTTATTGGCCTAGGAACCACTTTTTTACTGCTTTTGTATTTCTTTTTCATAGTAGAAATATTGTTCCTCCCTCGCCCGTGGACGTAGGTCAATTTGACCGAACCACGTAAATTTTGGTGTCTTTTATTTTGCTTTGTTATTTGTCTTTATTGGATTGCTACAACCCCTTTTATATGGTCGGTTTTACCGCCTAAATATTATATGATTAGTATCTATCGCCTAATCTTTATATGGTCGGTTATACCGCTTATTTTGTTCTAACTTTAATTTGTTTATTTCTGAACCAGTCTTAACAAATATTAATACATAAATATATCAGCATGCTTTGATCACAAAAAAAAAAATCTGCAATATAATAATGATTATTTCATTCGATTACAAAATTATATTAATGGCAGCAATTACATGCATCAAATACAACAAATAGAATTTTCTAGGCTGAAAAATCAGGAAAAAGAAATACGGGAACTACTTAAGGATTGAGAAACACGAAAGGAAGAGTTATTCACCATAAAAAAAGAATCAGTTCATACTAAAGACATAAGCGACAAACAGGGCGAGCTTCAACCGGGAACAGGATAAAGATTCTAGCTTTAGCATATACCTCTCATCCCACAGAACTGGAAATTCCCTGGCTTTTGCTAAAATTGTGATATGATTCCTGACTGAATGTCCATTTCACAGGGGGGATATGATTCCCAAGTGAATTCCCGTTTTGGCAAAAGAATGACACCTATAATGATGACATGCACTGGAACAGTAGACCTGAATTTATTACTCAAACTTCAATATTTTGATTCCTAAGTGAATGTCCATTTCACAGGAGGGATATGATTCCCAAGTGAATGCCAGTTTCGAAAAAGGGCTTCGTGCTTTAGATACCGAGGAACCTCAAAACGTGGACGATTAAAAATTTGCATACACTGTACATTGCTTTATCCAAGTAATTTTTGGCAAAAGAATGACACCGATAATGATGATACGCACAGGATCGGTAGACCTAAATTTGTGACTCAAATTTCAATTCATAAGCCCCAGTTTTGCGGGTTGGCCAATGATTAATTATTTTAGTCCCATATAAATATATGTTTATATAGACTTGTAAAAACTCGCGCACATAGATACACAGGCAGCTAGAAATGCATTTTACAATGTACACGGAACATGTTTTAGAACATGAAGTCACCAGAAAATCCATCTCTACCATTGCAACAGTATCCTTTTCCTCCGTTCCCTAAAATAGTAACATATATAATACGGTTAAAAAAAAAAAGAACTCTTATCATTGTCTTAGTGAATGATGACAATAATATCATCAAATACGTATATATTAATCACTTGAATGGAAATAGAGAAAGTGACACACAATGGTAGATTGAAAAACCAGGAGTTCCTTGTTCTGTATCAAACTCAAATGCAATCAAAGTTCTAAATTTTCCAAAAGATAAAAGCAGAAATAATGAATAATTTTGGAAGTATTGATTCCCAATTTCTCACGAAGGGCATAGAGGACATTTAGGTCCACAACATCGCCTATAAATTCTGGGAGTTTGTTCAATTCTTTCCTACATTCATACTCAGCAATCGAGCTTTGCCTATCGCAACCAAGAGCAATAATCTGTTCTCCTTACTCTGTGCGTAAAAATATGACTACAGTGGCAGCCAACTTTCCAATGGCTGTGACAGCCAAGTGCCAAAAAACGGAATTGGCAAACAACTACAGTAAGTTTCAGTCTTTGCGTTTTGCATCCATGCATTTATATCTATTTTCCTAATATTCGGCATTTATATTTTCTTCATACTGAAATGTTCGTTTCTTAATGGAAATCAGTTAAGCAATTCCAGTCTGCCGAAGTCGATGCTATACTGAAGCAAGCTGGAGAGGTGAACTATTGATACTCCTAGATCTAATTTACCTTGACTGTTTGGTCTATTGTTTTGACTAGATTCTAGGATATTGCTAAATTACATTAAAATTCCTTCAACCTTGTTACGAGGTTCTATAATTGTAACTCCTAAACTTTCAATCTCTGCTTGTCAGTCTTTTACCCTTTTTCTTATGGGAGAGGAAGATTTGCTTCTTAATTTTGTTTGATTGAGTTTCTGCCAAGTGTTCGGATTATTCGGATCTAAAATTATTCTAAAAGCTTTTTGTTTTACACCTTGCAGACCAAATTAATTGTGCCTGGTGGCTGGACTCCAGTGAACCCTGCAGACCCTCACATTCAAGAGCTCGGAAGATTTGCAGTGGATGAGCACAACAAGCAGACCGGAGACAAGCTGGTGTTTGTGGCAGTGGTTGCCGGCTTAAAGAAACCCGTTGAATTAGCCACTCTCTACTGGCTCATAATTGAAGCTAAGGATAGCGACGGCAATCAAAATATCTACAAAGCACTGGTTCAAGAAACTGATTTGGAGATGAAGAAACTCTTATACTTCGGGGAAGTGGTGCCGCCCGTGAACTGAGAACAAGGACTGAGGATTATGTATTGTATTATCGACTGTGTGTTAAAATAAGTATGGATGTTTCAGAGTTCCTGCCAGCACAATGCATCGATATATTAAATAAATAAAGCATTGTACCCTGTTGGAGTACATTATATACTTTGCTTCGCCATTGATTCTCATGAAAACCCGTGGGAATCCCACCATTTTCGTAGAAATGGTTTTACTTCTTGTTATCCAAACACCATTTGTTTCATGTTTTCCAATCACCATTTGTTTTTTGTTTAGACTACTTGGAACGTTGGGAATTTCACGTTATCATGGAACATGGGCAGAGCCATATATGTTGAATTGAGGATGGGCAATTGCCCCTAGTCAACTGTGACAAATTCCTATATTGGCTTGAAAAGCTTTAGAATTTTTAATCTTGGCTTGCATTTGCAACACCTTGAAATTTCTTATATTTTCTTTCTTCCATTAAATTGCCCCCTAAATTTATGAAGAAATTACATTTATTACTTCAAATGATGAAGTTATCCAAAATGAAAATTAAGTAGTTTTTGAAAACAAAGGAAGGAAATGAACCATGCCTTCTTTTAAGTCAATGGATAGGGCACCTTGGATAAGCAACAAAGAGGACAAACTTAGACTGGAAACAGGATAAAGATTCTGACTTTGGCATATATATATTATCATCCCACAGAACTGGAAATCCCCTTGTTTCTAGCTAAATTGTAATATGATTCCTGGGTGAATGTCCATTTCACAAGAGGGATATGTTTCCCAAGTGAAAACGATAAATAAGTCACCAGAAACACATATATTAATGTGTTTATATACACTTGTAAAAACTTATACACATAGAAACACAGACAGCTAGCACTGCATTTAACATATGTACGTAGCATGTATTAGAAGAAGCATTGGCCTACATGGTGAAGTCACCAGAAAAACCATCTCTATTGTTCCACCAATATCCTTTTCCTCCGTTCCTTAAAATGGTGACACTGATACATATAATATAGTTAAAAAAAAAAAAGAACTCTTATTACTGTCTTAGTGAATAATGACAATAATATCATCAAATACATGTATATATTGATCACTTGAATGAAAATAGAGAAAGTGACACAATTATACATCTAATGCATCTAAATATTGTAATCAAAGTTCTAAATTTCCCTAAGGCTACAAACGATGAATATTTTGCAATCAAATATTCAAGCACAATTAAGGCAATCAATGTAATCAATAATTCATGGTAAGAATAATAAAAAAACACAATTAATTAAGGCTTACGAAATTTGAAAGGGAAGTTTTCTATGCTAGTACAATAAAGCAAGGATGGAACGGGGGGAAGGAGGGAAGGGCCACCACCCCAAGTTCCAGAAATTTATACTTTTTCCTCCTCAAGATTTTGAGAAATTTGATGACAAAGGCAGTTAAAAATGATCCATTTCATGTTTCAAATTAATGACAGGGTAGCTATCAAGTATCAAGAACACTTGCCTTAATAAAAAATTGCCAATGAGATTCAAGAGAAGCCGTAAACAGAAGAAACTATTTAGAATTGGCAGAGGACAGCAATCCTGCACTTTGGCATATACCTCTTTATCTCCCGAGCATTTGTTTCGAAATGCATGTCTATTTCACAAAAGCGCTCCACGCTTTCAGATTAAGCTAGCGAGGAACCTGAAAACGTGGACGGCATCGATAGAGTACTTCATCCAAGTAAACCAGGCCAGCATTTTGTTCTGTAAACAGTACTAATTCCAAGTTCCTTTCGCAAGGAAATGAACCAACTTGGCATATACCTCTTTTAAGTCAATGGATAGGGCATCTTAGGATAAGCGGCAAGCAGGGCAAACTTAGACTGGGAACAGGATAAAGATCTTGTCTTGGCATTCACCTCTCATCCCACAGAACAGGAAACTCCCTGGTTTTTGCTAAAATTGTGATATGATTCCTGACTGAACGTCCATTTCACAAGCGGGATATGATTCCCAAGTGAATTCCCGTTTTGGCAAAAGAATGACACCTATAATGATGACATGTACTGGAGCAGTGGACCTAAATTTATAACTCAAACTTCAATTTTGAGTTTAAATTTAATAGGTGGATCAGGTTTATATGAATTTAGAAACAAAAAAAAAACACCTATTATTTCGTATTGTTTCATATCTCTCAAAAAATAAAAGAAAATAAAGCACATTGGTAGGATAAAGTACTTTTTACTTTTTCTTCAGTAAACATGTCTTATGCACAAATCTTTAAAAAAAAAAAAAAAAACTAGTAGTCAAGGGGTGGGATTTAACGGTGTAGGAAAGAGAAAGAGGATTTCTAAGTCCTAGGATTTGTATATATCTTACTTACACCAAAAGCTATAACAAAAAAAGAATTTACATAGTGCAGCATGTCACCAATAGTTAAACCAATATTAATGCATATAGACATCAGTGTGCTATGATCATAAAAAATTCTGCAAAACAAGAATGATCATTTCATTCGTTTATAAAATTATATTAATGGCAGAAATTGCATGCATCAAATATAACAAATGGAAATTTTGAGGCTGGAAAGACAAGAAAAAGAAATATGGGAACTACTTAACGATTGAGAAATACGTAAGGGAAGAGTTATTTACCATAGTTATTAAATTCGGCCCGACTTGGTGATCAAATCGGTCAACTCGATGAACAGATCATTGGGTTGGATTTCTAATTGAATCGTTTAAACATAGAACCCATTAACTGGTCAAAGATTCGACGATTCAACTGGACTAAAACGAGAACCTGACCGGTTTTGTCAATGAGCCGATTTTGTGGAAAACATTTCAGTAAGTTCATGCTAGGTTTCAAACTTGAGACCTTTGGTATATATCTATAATATACTCACCACCGGACAACTTGTCATATGTTAGTTGAGCAGTTTTCTTATAATATATGAACGTTTGGTCAATTCTATATTTATTCTTTTTTTTATTTCTCTAAAACAAATTTATTTGATTTCTTTTAATAAAACCTTATGACCCCCAAACTCTATAAGTTATAAAATGAATTTCAAAATAACATATTACATAATTTATTTTCAAGACAAAACTTGTTTTTAATAATTTTTTGCACTTACAATTCTTAGATAAGCTAGATAATTACACCGCACACAGATGAAATTTTACACTTGAAATTTGGTGGATTACTAAATAACTTTATGTTTTATTGATTCTTATATGAATTAATCATTCTAGAGTGAATTAAATTAAATGAGCATTTTCTATGGTATTTTTATTACAATCTATATCATATATCTCATACAAAAAATTATGAAATATAATATTTAAATATATTTAGTAATCCACTGGTTCAGCCACTCACTCACTAGTTAAACCAGTAATCCGTTGACTTACCTCCTTCATAAGGTTCCTTTCTGGGCTGGGTTTAATAAATATTTACTATAAAAAGGAATCAGTTCATAGGGTTCCTTTTTGGGCTGGGTTTAATAAATATTTACTATAAAAAAGAATCAGTTCATACTAAAGACATTTCGCAACGAAATTTACAATGCGCTCTTTTAAGTAAATGGATAGGGCATCTTAGGACAAGCGGCAAACAGGGCAACCTAGACTGGGAACGGGATAAGGAGTCTTGCTTTGGCATGTACCTCTCATCCCACAGAACTGGAAATTCCCTGTTTTTTGCTAAAATTGTGACGTGATTCCTAAGTGAATGTCCATTTCACAAGAGGGATATGATTCCCAAGTGAATGCCTGTTTCAAGAAAGGGCTTGTTGCTTTCTATCTAAGCTACCGAGGAACCTCAAGACGTGGACGATTAAAAATGTGCATGCTCTTTACATTGCTTTATCCAAATAATTTTTGGCGAAAGAATGACACCTGTAATGATGACGTGCACTGGATCAGTAGACCTAAATTTATAACTCAAACTTGAATTCAAAATCTTAAACCACAGTTTTGTTGGTTGGCCAATGATAAATTATTTTAGTACCATATAATTATATGTCTATATAGACTTGTCAAAGCTTATAGGCATAGAAACACAGGCAGCTAGCACTGTATTTTACATACACACGGAACATGTTCTGGAACATGAAGTCACCAGAAAAACCATCCCTACCATTGGTACAATATCCTTTTCCTCCGTTCCCTAAAATAGTATCATAAATAAAACGGTTAAAAAAAAAAAAGAACTCATATCATTGTCTTAGTGATTAATGACAATAATATCATCAAATACATATCTATTAATCACTTGAATGAAAATAGAGAAAGTGACACAAATATACACCTAATGCATCTAAATAATGTTGTGCACGATAAATGATAAAGTAATTTATTTTTTTGGCTTCTTAACCTCTAATACGGAAGCGTGAACCAAGGAAAAAATTTCACCTAACGATTTCCTAAAAACGAATCATAAATTCACAAAAACAAGAGAACTCTCACAAGTTGGTAAAAACCAACGAAAGATATATTTTATTTTGGAGAACAAAAGACCCTAAATATGCCTATATAAAGGTTATAACGAGTCCTGCTCTAGAAGAAAAGAAATACCACTACAAAATCTAAACAAACAAAGCTATGAATTTGGCTGCGACGGTGTCTGGCGTCCGACATGAGATTGGTCATAGGGCCCGACATCATCTATCCATTATTCTTAGATATCAAGTTCGCTCCACACTCTCCCGTACTTGAGAGGGTGATACATTTCTGTAACTTATTTTGCCATGACATTGCTCCCTCTGTAAAAATCATCAAGTATCCAGATGTAGACTTTCTGTTATCGAGATCACCTGCTATATCTGCATCAATGTATCCATCTAGTATAGTTTTTCCATTGCCGAAACACAAACATAACTTGAAAGTTCCTTTGAGATGCCTAAGGATCCACTTGACATCATTCCAATGCTCCTTACCAGGATTGGAAAGATACCAACTGACTACCCCAACTGCATGAGCAATATTTGGCCTAGTGCAAGTCATAACATACATCAAACTATCAACAACCGATGC